TTTTTTTTTTTTTTTTTTTTTTTTTTTTTTTTACGCACCACTTGGGGTTGTCGGAACCGAGGGAGAAATAGAGAGAGAGGCCATAAAAAATGGGAAAATTTTTTTTTCTATAAAATGGAGGTTGCACATATGTTGCACGAACGAACGGGTTGTTTTTCCCTCTTGTTCAAATTGGTTTTGCGAATTATATTGACTTAACATTGGTGCATGCATATATGATGTAGTGACAAGGTTCGGGTGCGCCAACTTTTTTACAAAGACGATGTGTATACAGTGGTGTCACTTTACAGGAGAACAATGGATGGCCTTTTTTTTTTTGTTTTCCCCTTTTGGCCAAATGAAGAATGGCACATGTTTTGACTTCATATCGCGCGCGCTACAAGGGGTGCTGCATGGGGGGGAGGGCACCCGTTCATATATACAATGCGCACAAGCATGAGTGAATATCTATACATCCGTGTGTGTATATAACCATTTATGTGCGTGTATATGAGTATTTATGCGGATCTACATACGCACGCGCGTGCCTGCGCGACTGAACCCATGGAACACGCTACGCGCCTGGGGGGCTATCCCTTCCGAAGCCGCTGCAATCTCAATTTGTGTAGCTCGGACAGCTCATTGTTTATTTTGTTATACTCCACTGTGTTTGTTCTCTCCTCCGTTGTGGGCTGCTCCATTGCGGGCTGCTCAATTCCCTTTTGTTTCGCATCCGCCGCATGGGTTTCCCCTGCCCCAGGTCCTGTTACCCCTTTTAAAGTGTTACAAACCCCATTTGCATGGACGCCACTGCATGTCGTGTTATCATTTTCTCCTTCAGGTGGGACTACCTCATTGCGCAGTTCAAATGGATGAGCGCCTTTGCTCACTGTCCCTCCATCTCCCTCATTTGTGGAAGTCATCATTTCAATAAATTCATACAACTGTGATTGGGCACATATTGGGTCTTGGAAGTTTTTGATATTCCATATTTTTATTTTTCTTCCTGTTCTTTTGCACAGGGCGCAGATGTGGGGTAGCTTGGTGACCTGCAGGGGGGAAACGTGTACGTGGGCTGCATGTGCACCGCATATTTTCATACACACGCACGCGCGAACCCATTTTTGCGTGTCATACCTTGTAGGTGGTGGTGAAGACCAGTGCGTCCTGGTCGTGCTCATGGCGCAGCCAAAAAATGAAAAAGTCCTTTATTATGTCCTGCACCATTTCGTTGTTCCATATGTCCCTGTTCAATTTCAAGGACTCGAATTCCGAATCCTGAATGCTCACAAGGATGTACTTGTTTTCCTCTCTCGCCTTTTTACGCACCTGTTCCAAAGACAGCGAGCAAATGAGAGAGGTCGGTGCCGAAAACAATTTCCCAAACGTGTCCCCCAATTCCATTTCTTTTTTTTTCTTTGCATTCTTGTTCTTTACATTCATGTGTAAAAAATTCGAGTAATCCATGTCATGAATTAACGCTTGATTAAAATGTTTGTCTGGCTCTCTAACGCTGTCGTCACACTGGGTACTGTCATTTTCTTCCAATGCATTTTGTTTTTTATTACTTGTTGCTGGTCCTACGTCTCCATCTGTTGTCCACGTGGCTTCTACGGACCGTGCTTGGTCCTCGGCCTGTCCTCCATGCGCACCGGGCCCTCCATGTATGTCGTAGTAGAGCTGTAGAGCATTGTTACAATTTCCGTTACACATCTGCAGGAAAAAAAAAAAAAAAAAAAAAAAGTATAAAAAGGGAAAGCAGGGCGATGATGCAAAAGAGAGACGATGAAGAAGCTTCACACAAAGGGAGAGGGAGATAAACAAGAATAAATACATGGAAAAAGGACAGCCACCATGGGGCGGCGGGCTATATATATCCCCCCCCCTCATAAACTCTTTCCCCTCTTATGATCATACTTCCAAATAGTACAGGGCCATATCCTCCGTTGCATCCTCTGTGCTAATTAAAAACATGTACAACGCATTGTTATGTTTAATTCTCCGTGCTGTTTTTCAGGAGATGCAATCTGTGCACCTATGACATGGTCAGCAGGTGCACTGGGCTGCTAGACGCGCGCACATAAATCGGATTCGTATGCATGTACGTATGTGTGTGCGCATGCTTGTGCGTCTTTGGCGGTTGTTTCTTTTTGCCCCTTTACCAATATGCATGAGGAATTCTTCAATTTCCCGTTTGCCCGTCATTTGGGGAGGGGGTTGACCGTTTTTTTGTAGGGCGCCCTGAGGAGGGGTAAAAATGAGCTACAGCGTAGCACCTCCTATGGGTAGAACTTGCCGGGCAGGCACATACATATGTGCACTTGGGTAAAAGTAACGTTTACGCGCTGATGCGCTTTTATACGTATGTGTGTATTTGAGCATTTAACGACGTGCGGCGCCGGCACGCTTCCCCCGCCTGATCATTTCAGAAATTCCCTTTTTTTTTTTTTTGTCGCTCTCGTTTCACAGTGCACTTGACCAGTGCGGCATTTCACCCAGCTGTGTTTTCGCACAAACGGGGTGACCCTTTAGACATACGCAAAAATGCTACTTTTCCTTTTTCTGCATTTTTTTGTGCTCCTGCGCAGTGTGCAATCGTAAGCGGCCATGACGAGCACAAGCGAGCTTACGCGAGCATTATCTGCATGTGCAGTATGAGCGGCATACAAAAAATATGTGACATTGTGACACGGTGACATTGCCCTATTGCGACGTGCACAGGTGCTTGCTCACAGTCCATGCAGCACCCACGTAGCTGTTACTTCACACATGTGGGCGCCTCTCCACCCTGGGCCGCGTTTCCACGAGTATGCACCCTGCAGAATTGCCTCATTGTACGTACAGGTGCACATTTGGGAAAATCGCGCACCCTGAACAAACTTTGCACGTCTTTTAAAAAAGGACGCCAAGTGGGAGAAATGGGCGAGAAAAAGAGCAGTATAAAATTCCCACCTAAACCTTCCAACCGTAATATGCTAAAATAACCCAGCGGATGTCCCAACTTGCAATTAGCAAATTCACCATCAGTCACTTTCCCCCATTTTCCAGCTGTGCCCCTCTCTGGGGTAATGTCCCTTTTTTTTTTTTTTTTTTTTTTTTGCGAAATTTGCCACCTCACATTTTTGCACTTGCATTTTGCGCAAAGTTTAGTCGCGTTTGTCTAGGCAGCGTGTGCAAAGATCATTTGGGAAATTGACCGACTCAGCGACTGGCGAAACGAACTGTTGGGGCCACCTCCCACATGTGAAAAAAAAAAAAAAACAAAATGCATGTGTGATGAGCGACTCGCCACGTTGAGCTAATCTGACTGCATGGCGGGGTGAAACTTAATGGTGCTTGGGAATGCTGTCCAATGTTTTTTTTTTTTTTCTATTTAAACAAGGTACAAGAATATATTCTCCTCGTTATGCGAGCTGGTAGCTGTAAAGCAAACGTATTTTTTTTTTTTTTTTTACACTTTTTTGGGAACCACACAATGATATTTGCCTTTTGCGTTTCTCTCAAGTTTGGATCACCTCAGATTTTCGCAAATGTAGCGGCGCTGAGGTAACGACCTGCACGTTGTTGGCACACGTAACCGCGACATGTTAAGCGCGGCATGTGTAAGCGCGACATACGAAGGTGCGCACAAATATATGCACGTGTACATATAGCAGTGTACACCTATGTACACGTGCAACAACTGCAGTCACGTCCTGTACTCAGATGCTTAACTGACGCGGGGAAAACAACCTCACCAAGTTATATACAGTGTGCGTACTTGTGATGAACGCTTTACACGGGTTGCACCTTCTACCCACCCATTTTCCCTGTAACCGCGTGTTCCTACAAGTACGGAACGTTTTCACAGGGTCGGGTAAAGGCATTTATATATGCACATAAAACGGATAACCTTTTTTTTTTTTTTTTTTTTTGAGGGGCGTTGTTAAAGCCGCCCTATGCAAAACAAGGCGTCGTATGGTGATCAACTATGAGGAGGATCGTAAGGAATTCGTGACCCAATTTTACGCGCACGTAGCACCTTCATCACTTGAAAAAACATATATGCAAAATGATGGGGAAAGTAATTGTGTTCATAATCACAGAAGAGGAGGGTAAAAGGAATTCTTTTTTTTTTTTATTTTTAAAGTAGCGTTTTCCACTGAAACTGTGAAAGGAACATATGCCTAGGGTACGGTACATATATAAAAAACATACGCGCTTTTCGTCCGTCATTTGGGCAGCTACATGAAATTACTTACGTGTAGCATCATTGTTTTGACCATCATTCATTATTATATGAGGGGAACGTGGCGTGGTAAGGAACTTTGCATCCACGTAAAAGTGAATAATTTTCATTTACGACAAAGGTAGGTATGCTTAAAATTGCGTCGTGTTCTCTTTTCTGCTTAATCCAGCATGGGGGCGGGTTTATTTCTTCCGTTTGCCTTTCCCCTTTTGGCGGAACCTTGCCTTTTTTTTTTTTTTTTTTTTCCCCTTTGCATGTGACGCATTGGTAAAACCTGAATTGGCTTTTTGCCTGAATATATATAAGCCCTTGAACAGTGAAAACAAAAAAAAAAAAAATTGTAAAAAAATTGTAAAAAATCGATTTGGCATTGTGCCACAACTCCCATTCTTTACATATACAAACAAGTATTTATTTAAAAGAGCACATAAAAGAAATTCCAGTTTGTTTAATTCCCTTCATTTGGCAATACTTTTTCCTTTTTATGTACAATTTAATCTTTATTCTTCCATTCGTTCCACTTTGACGTAACTCATTTTTTTAACAAACAGAGATATGAATTTTTTTCTTTTTCCATCACAGTTTATACTCGTCATATGTATATGAGGAGCATACCTTTCTTATTTTTTTTTTTTTTTTCCTCCAGCCAGTACAAATACATCTTTTTCCTACTTGTTCACATTTTGCAAAAATAATACCATTTTTTTCGCAGTTGCGATCTGTAACAAAAGTGTACAATTGTGCAAACGAGTTAATCCATATAAAAAACCCAAGCTGATAAAAGTTGGGCGTAGGCTTAAGGGTGTTGGCTAGTAGCCCATCCCAGTTTAATCCTTCTTTTAATCGCTTTTGTTCTTTTTTCTTTTTTCTTTTTTCTTTTTTTTTTGTACGAAAAGTGTGTGTTGTCACAAGGATACAATACGCAGTTGTACAATATTATATAGCCGTTGTCAGAGAAATACGATTTTTTTTTTTTTTTTTCTTCCTCCACACCGTTTTGTAGCTCCCCATTGTTGCACTTTTTTTTCACTTTTTTTTTTTTTTTTATTTTATGATGAACATGAGCTTGTTATGAAGTACGATTAAATCTGTTTGTCATTTTAAAATTAAGTATATTTGACGCGAATTGTCAAATTGGCAGAGCGGAAGAGAAGTCGCCATATGAGGTGTGGCGTCTCCCGAATTTGTGAATTTATAACAAGTTCTCCAGCCAAGTCAAGGTTGTTTTTTGTGCAGTGCGCTAGTGCGCCGTTGCCAAGTGTAGGCAGTTGTGTGAATTTTTTTTCAGGCGTGGTATACAAGCGTGTGCGCACTTATACCCAAGTGAAGCTGCACACTCTGAAGAGGACACACACACAAAAAAAAAAAAAAAAACACAACGAGGGGAAAACGGGACCAAGGGTGACACTGCAAAATTTGCAAAGCGTATACACACAGAATACGAACCGTGCACTGTAACAACACCCCCACACACACCAACACCCGTTCCATCTGAGAGGACCTTTTTGTAAAAGGCACCCTCCCCCCATTTTGAAGAAGCTATACCACATGTGTGCATAAAAATCACCTGTACGGTGCAGGTCATATATATATTATTAATTAGCGAAAGTCATTTTTAATTCTGAACAGATTTTTTTTTTTTATGTGTTTGCAAAGGGTTAGTTAAAATTGTGTATTTTTTTAAGGGAGATATACACAGCAGCCCAGTTTTACGAAGGCTTCCTTCACAGGGTCGCATGTACAGACGCATATAATGTGTACACTGCTATATACATGTATGCGCTCGCTCGTATGCACGGTGTGACGGAAGAGGGACTCCTTTGGTAATCGCCTTCGCACACTTGCTCAGCTTTTAATTCTGCTGTTAATTCGCAGCCAAGAGAGGGTAATCAATCAGTCCGCACATATACGCTCACCTGTTAATCCCTCCATACGCACCGCGCAGTCTTACGTTGGAGCGCCGAGTTTGATGACCAACGGAACAGCTGACATGAAAACAACGGACGGGACGAATAATGAGAGTATCTTTGAAAAAAAGAAAAACTCCCTGTTGCACCAGTGTCGTACCCAACCGTTTTTCATTCATCTTCCTCTTGTCAAGAATATTCATTTAGATATTGGCTAGCTAGCTGTCTAATTTTTTTTTTTTTTTTTTTTTTTAATTTTGGCTTGCTATCACGCGTATGTTTTTTTAAAAATCATGTTGTGTATTCAATTAAATTGAAGGAGAAGAATTGTGAAGCCATGAGAAGGTGGACACAGTCCGTCAGAATTGTTCGCATTTGTATATAGCACCAGGGGGGGTTGCACGTAAGCATGCGTGTGTAGCCACACAGGTGTATATCTACTGTGCGTAATTCCATGTGTACAGTTACATGCACGTGCCGCTTCTGCATTTACTGCGACGCATACGTGTCTGTGCGCTGTAGCCTAGTCAACTCTGTCGCCCGCCCCTGTTGCATACGTGCACCCACCGACTCATGTGCGCACGTGCGTATACACTCAGACAGTAGGAGAATATGCGCACCCAACGCATTCCTCGTTTGAATAACTTCCAAACACGTGATCAAATAATATATAGTCCCGGCATAGTGAAGTGGACCAGGGCAACCCGAAAGGAGGAAAAAGACGAAGCATTTTTTTGAAGTGGACCAGGATAATGATAAATTGGTGCGAAGTCTGAATGAGCACAAGAGAAAGGACCACGCGAAAGAGTGAATAATCATTTTCAGAAGAATCGCAAAAAAAGAAAAAAAAAAAAGAAAAGAAAAGAAGCGGGGACCCCTCAGGCTGCTTACAATACACACCAAGAAACGGTCGCAACGTAGCCAGACCCTTATGCGCGCAGGAAAGAGGTACACCCAGGAATATCAAACCTAACGAGTAGAAACACGTTAAAAATAATCATACAAAAGAGAAACACCTTCGTAAGATTGCACACAAAGACCATCGCACCGCCAACCAACGAGAGAGAACAAAATAAATAAGTAAAAAAGGAATCCGAGCTTTAAATATAATGAAAAAGATGAATGGGAAAAATGATAGTGAACTCTGGAGTTAGTGATCATGATAATGGCCTTCAGGCCGTAGGAGAAACAGGACCAGATGGAACAGGCAAGATGCAGGAGGGAGGTCAGGACGTTGGAGATTCTGTGCACGACTCGGTGGACTCGGCGGACGGGGGGAACCCTGCCAATTGGGCCGACTCGAGGGAAGTAACAGCCCATTCTGCGCAGGTCAGCGCAGATGGCCAAAGCGAGCGCAACGAAGGCCTAGTGAAATCGTCTTCCTTCTTCGCGAGGTGTTTGAGTAAGATAGGAAATTTTAACAGTGCTTCGCGTGCGGAGGGAAACACAGATGGGAATGCGCATGAGAATGCTACTGACAATGCTGATGGGGATGCGAATGAAAATGCGAATGAGAATGCTCATGGCAGCGCGCACAGCAGCAGTGAATTGGGGTTGTTGTCCAAAGGCGCAAGCAGCGAATTTCAAACAGAGGCGATGAACGACACCGTGCCACAGAGCGGTGAGTTAGAGGTAGCCATGACCGCCATAACAGAGTTTCATAAAAAAGAAAGTCAGGTAAAAATAAGTAGGGGAGAAATTTACCTCAGTGAGAAGGAGTTTGCAGTCATATCCTACCTCCTGTCAGGAAGTGGTTTTAGATTTGCCCTCATTGATGACCCCAAGAAGAAAAAAAAAAGAGAGTTGTTAAGGCTGGACGAACTTTTAATGGAGGCTAAGAGGTGGAAGGGTGAAGGACTTACTTCGAGCCTCAAAAGAGAAGGCACACATGAGAGAAGACAGGGAGGGAACATGTCATATGTGGACAACACTGAAGATGCACATGGTGCAGGTCGCTACGATGCAGAGGATGGTAGTCTAGAGGAAGGAAAATTGTTAAGACGCTCAAGTGAAGGAGTAGGAGTACACTACGCCAAAAACGAACTAATCAAGGGTGAGCAATCTTCCACATCACGCGAGACACAAAGGAGACTGAAAGAAAGTGGTTATACCCATTTAGACTCAACAAGCGAAAGAGGAAATAAAACAAATAATGATATACAAAACGAAATTATAAGTAGAGTCGATAATAAAGAAAGGATACAGCTATGTGAAGAAATTCTGCTTCATTTAAAAAATAATTTTTATGACCAAATATTAAATATAGAACATAATTTTAAAAATTTAGGTAACAGAATTGAAGACAGTAATGGTTTCTACTTCCAGTGTATAATGGACAAGCTACAGAATAAGAAATATGAAAACCTCTTTTTCATTTATAATGATGTATATATGTATGTGAATAACTTATTGTTCCTGTCCAAGCCTTCCAGTTTCATATGGATGAAGGTGCATGAGTTGTCGACTCAAATTACTGGCTCCATGTCTGAGCTTCAACAGAGGAAGGAGACAAAGAAGACCTCCCTTTCCCAGGGCGCCCAGGGCTCGTTACAAGAACACGTGGATAAGGACGATGTTGGGAAGGGCAAGGCCCTCCTGGTTCCCCCTGGGGACACCATTGAGCAGTCCATCGACGAGGACGAGAAGCTGGCCTTCCAGCTGCTCCTGGGCAAGTTGCACCAGGACATACACTTCGAGGTGAGGCGCGTTGCATGTTCCGCGTTGCACATTCCGCGTCCCAAGCAGGGATACCCATTTATGTGCCTCTCACGTATCACCTCTCACGTATCACCTCTCACGTATCACCTCTCACGTATCACCTCTCACGTATCACCTCTCACGTATCACCTCTCACGTATCAC